ACAATATAAAATACTTACGAACACATAATTCGCTGCCCATTTGGAACACTTGAACGAACGTTCCAATGTAAATAATTAAGTTTACCAAACTCAGCAACCCACACATTAATATCTTCCATAGATTTGGCATCACATCTTAAAATAATATTAACCTTGTCTTCTTTGACTATTTCATATTTAAATGAAGCTGGATAAATCATATTTTTATGTTTGAATTAAATAAATCAAAAATATTCAAAATAATAAAGACATAAAGTTAAAAAACTCAGAATTCAAAATTTGATAACATTGAATATTGATAATGTTAAAATGTTATCAGTGTTATCACAAACGTAATAGAGCCAATGAGAGCTCTCGATTTCCCATGGGTCTCTAGCAATGTATGGTATGCTTATATGCGACCGGGCGTCACGGCCTATTATTGTTTCGTTCCCGGCCCGTCCATTTTGGTGACCTCGACGTGATCGATAAGCTTACGTAATATCATTATCATTATTTAATTACCGTATATTGATCAATGTAAGCTTTTCGTGACCTATATTTGTTATATAAAGATCATCGGTTAATTACTATAGGTACACCTGAATTAAATCGCTCTCAATTGATATACACACAGCTATATAATATACACATTGTGGTCGATAATTACGAGTAGCTTGTATATATTTAACTAACTTATTACAATGACACTTGAGGAGAGTGAGAAAAAGATCTTGAGTAATTTGAAGAAACGAAGAGGAGTAGTAAAGGCAGCTCTTACCAGAGTTCAAACCTTCATCAACAAATTTAATCCAAGGGATGATGCCATCGCATTATTAGAATTTCGTCAGGAAGAGTTACCACAGATAAATCGGAAATTTGACGACGTTCAGTGTGAAATTGAGTTGATCGACCCCGATAATGTTGACGAAGCGGAGAAAGAGAGAGAGGAATTTGAGAACACTTATTTTGCTATACGGGCGGAGTTGCAACAGATTATAAGTGCAGAGAAAAGTCAAAATACATCTATAAATAATACCTCGAGCATCACAACTACTGGGCATGCGCGAGGAGCACGCCTACCTCCGATCTCCTTACCAAGCTTTGATGGTAACATCCAAGAATGGGAATCTTATTTTGATTGTTTCAAGGCTATGGTACATAATGATGATAATTGCCCAGCAGCACAAAAATTCTCCCATCTTAGGTCCACTCTGAGTGGTCAAGCTCTAGACATTATTAAGGGGCTACCTATGACTGAAAATAACTATAAAGTGGCAATCAAAAAATTGCAACAGCGTTATGACAACAGAAGTTTAGTTATACAGTCACACATCCGCGCAATTCTAGACTGCCATCAAGTTGAATCAGCCTCAGGAATGCAGCTGCAAACGCTACATTCAAACGTTTCGGCTCACGTTGCTGCTCTTGCAGCTCTAGAGCAGCCCATTCAACATTGGGATGCTTGGCTTGTGACAGTAGTTTTAAGGAAATTAGACCAATCCACGAATCAAGACTGGCAGCTTCGGCGCACCAATACAGATCTGCCAACGTACGCTGAGTTAGAAGTTTTTTTAACAAACAGGTGCATCGCGTTAGAATCAACCGAAGGGTTTTCTGTAAGTTCTGAGAGAGATAGGGACAGTCATTCAACAAAGGATCAGAAAATGAAAAAATCTTACTTGAGCAGCAATTCAAAAAAAGGTCTTTTCATATCTACCGAAAAACCCATAAAATGTCCATGCTGTTCTGATGAGCATAAATTATATGCGTGCAATAAATTCAAGGAATTGTCCATAGGGGATCGTGTGACATTGGTAAGAGACTCGAGGTTATGTTTTAATTGTTTAAACCCGAATCATATGGCGACTGTGTGCCGATCTACCTATAGTTGTCGAATATGCAAGCGCAACCATAATACGTTATTGCACTTCGAGAAGTCAACAGACTCGGCAGAAAGAGTTGAAGGCCAAGCCCAGCAGTTTGACGAACAAAAACAACCCAACTCGTCACAAGATTCAAATATTTCAGCAGCTGCTTCATTTGTGGATGGATCGGAGCAAGGATACGTGTTTTTGTCTACTGCGCTGATCCTAGCCGGCGACAGATTTGGAAATCAGAAGAAGTGCAGAGCAGTTTTGGACAGTGGGTCGCAAGTGAATTTTATTTCTGGAAACTTAGCAAATAAACTACAGCTGCAATCCAAAAAGTCATCACTACCGGTGAGTGGAATTGGAGAAAGCCGGGTCCAGGCATTGTCGTACGTTGAAGTTTCAATTCAGTCAAGATTAAGAAACTATAGGGTAAAACTAGTGTGCTATGTTCTACCAACAATTGTGAGCAAGCTACCAGCATGTCCAAATCCACCAAGAGGCTGGCAGATCCCAGATGAATTGTTATCTGATTTAGCAGATCCATATTTTTACAATCCTGGTACTGTAGACTTGTTAATCGGCGGAGGAGTATTTTTTGACATCACTTCAACTACAACTGTACGAAGACCATTAAATGTAAAAAATATATGTTTGAACGACAGTCAATTTGGATGGCTAGTCACTGGGGAGCTAGGAACGGTGTGCTTAGCAGGGATTCGTACGGTAGGAGAAACACTAGAAGATAATTGGCGAGCAATGATTGACAGTGAGGAGTCATACTTTGGACGCTTATCCAAGGCAAACCAACGTTCCCAGGAAGAGGAAGAAACACTTCAACATTTCCATGATACGTTTCAACGTGACCAAGAGGGCCGATTTGTGTTACGTTTGCCAATAAAAGAAGAACACAGAAGTTTAGGAAATAGTCTAGCAATGGCAACCTCAAGATTTATTAACATCGAAAGAAGACTACAGCGTGATGATCATTTGCGAAAAGAGTACACAAATTTCATGGCAGAATATATAAGCATGGGCCATATGCACGAAGTCATCGCATCACAAGATGCTTGTTATTTGCCACATCACCCAGTCATTAAAACATCGAGCCTAACCACTAAGACTAGAGTTGTCTTTGATGCTTCGGCTAGAACGTCGAACGGAACCTCACTCAATGACATACTAAAGCGCGGTCCGACCGTACAAGAAGACATTTTTTCCATTATGATAAGATTTCGGAAACATCAATATGTACTGACAGCTGACATTGAAAAAATGTTCCGGCAGATAATGATTGCAGAGGAAGATCGGCCTTTGCAACAAATACTTTGGCGTGACCATCCACATGAAGCGCTTCGGACATACGCTTTAGCTACTGTAACGTATGGCACAACACCGGCTTCCTTTATGGCAACGCAATGCCTTGTGGTACTTGGAGAGGAGGCAAAGAAAAGGAACGCCAAGATTGCGGAAGTCATCTTACGTGACTTTTACATGGACGACCTGATGACTGGTTGTGACACTGAGGATGAATGTATACAATTACATGAGAACATAGTCAGCATCCTGAACTCAGCAAAATTACCACTACGTAAATGGTGCTCCAATTCGCCATCAATTATCGAAAGGATAGGCAAAAATCAAGATGATGCGCTTTTTATACTAAGTCTGGGAGACGAGGATATCATAAAATCCTTAGGGCTTTGTTGGCAGCCGTTCGTTGACCAATTCAGATTCAGCATCATGATCCCGGCAGACAGATCAAATCTTACCAAAAGAAAGCTATTATCAGACTTGAATAAAGTATTTGATCCATTAGGATTCTTGGGTCCGGTACTCATTATTGGAAAAATATTCCTTCAACAGTTATGGCAATTAAAAATAAACTGGGATGAACAATTAGAAGCGGATATTCAAGAAAAGTGGAAAACCTACTATGCTGGATTGGAATCACTAAAACATCTTACCATTCCTCGTAAATGTAGCCCTCATCAGAGTGACAAGGTCGAAGTACACGGATTTTGTGATGCATCGATCGAGGCATATGGGGCATGTATGTATGTACGAAGTCTAGATAAGGCTAATAAATGGAACTCGCGTCTTTTATGCTCAAAATCAAGAGTGGCTCCATTGAAGGGAGCTACTAACCCAAGACTTGAGTTGAGTGGAGCACTTCTTTTAGCGCAACTAGCGACAAAGGTGGCAGAGTCATGGGACATAGGCACTGCAACCATTTACTTGTGGACTGATTCTACGATAGTTTTGGGATGGCTAAATAGTCACTCCTCAAGGTTAAAAACATTTGTAGCGAATCGAGTGAATCAAATATTAGAACTAACAGAAGTGGATCAATGGCGACATGTACGTACCCATGATAATCCTGCCGATATCATATCTCGAGGCATAACTCCGGCAGAATTAATCAGAGCAGGAATCTGGTGGAGCGGACCCGAATGGTTGGAGGAAGATAACTTAAGTTGGCAAATCCAACCCACGCTAAAGAAGGATGTAGAAGAATTACCTGAAATTCGCAAGATGAAGCTGGCGTTAATAACAACCAATCCAGTGGTTCACATGATCAACCAATATTCTGAATGGAACCGAATGCTCCGAGGAATCTCCTGGTTAAGAAGATATATAAAGTACATAAAAGGGGAGAAAGGTGCCAGAGAGCCAGATATCAGACCTAAGAGAGGCTAGGTTGACGGTATTAAAAATAGTTCAGCAAGAATGCTTTCGTAAGGAGTTCATAGCACTGGGAAAGGGACAAGAAGTGCCAAAAAACAGTAAGTTACGGTGCTTAAACCCATTTATAAAAAATGGATTGATACTTGTTGGCGGAAGATTGCAAAATTCAAACATCAATGAAAACCGCAAACATCCCATTGTTCTTCCTTCATTTCACAAGATCACAGTTATGATTTTTGAATCGTATCACCGCGAACTTCTTCACATTGGACCTCAAACATTGCTATCTGAAGTGAGACGTCAATATTGGCCCTTACTGGGCAGGGCAAATGCACGAGCAGTAGTACGACGGTGTATCAAGTGCATAAGAGCGTGCCCACGTTTTGATCAACCGCTAATGGGAGTGCTTCCGAAAGATCGTCTTCAATGTGCAAGGCCATTTACAATTACGGGCATTGATTTTGCTGGGCCTGTTTACGTACGTAGCGGTTTAAGGCGAGTCCCCGCAAAAAAGGCGTGGATTGCCATATTCGTTTGTTTTTCTACAAAGGCTATGCATTTAGAACTTGCTGAAGATCTTTCTAGCGCTTCGTTTTTAGCTGTTCTGCGCTGTTTCATGGCCCGGCGAGGAAAATGTGCCAAAATCTATAGTGACAATGGCACAAATTTTGTGGGAGCTCAGAAGGAACTTGTATCGATGATGAGAAAAGCTAGTGACCAAGTTATAAAAGAAGGTATCGAATGGCACTTCAACCCTCCCTCAGCACCGCATTTTGGTGGTCTTTGGGAGAGTGCAGTAAAGAGCACCAAACATCACTTAAAAAGAGTAATGGGGGAACACAAGCTTACGAGCACAGAGTTAAGGACTCTCCTTTGCCAAATAGAAGCTTGCTTAAACTCAAGACCCATTACTCCGCTTAGCAGTGATCCATCCGAGATGGAAGCTTTAACACCGGCTCATTTCTTAATCGGAGGCCCAATGATGATTCCAGATGAACCAGACATTTCTGGAGAACCGACAAACAGGCTTAAGCGTTGGAAGTTGGTTCAGAACCTCATGCAAACCTTTTGGAGTCGGTGGTCAAAAGAGTACCTTCCACAAGTACAAGCTCGCGGAAAGTGGACAAGTAAAGGAACACAACTAAAAAAGGGAGATGTAGTGATCATCAAGGACGACTGCCTACCCCCCACCAGATGGAAGTTAGGCTTAGTGATCGAAACTCATCCTGGAGTTGATGGATTGATACGAGTAGTGACGTTAAGGACAGCAACTGGAGCTCAAATGCGACGACCAACCGTTAAGTTGTGCCGCTTACCAGCACAGGAAGAGCATGATTTGGTTGAAAATAAATAACTTTTCAACGGGGGGAGAATGTTGAGACCCGGACATGAGATACCGCCACCGACCGAACACACACACACACGCACACGCACTTCTTAATGTTTATATTTGTATTGTTTAATTTTGTCTTTAATTATGTCAGCTGTGTATCGTGAATTATATAATATGTAGATTGTGCGCGACTAGATATCAACCGCCGCCGCCTAGCTAGAAAGATGAACAATTAGCGCGGCCGACCATCCCACCAGTTCGACACAAACGGTCAACCCGATTCGATATAATTTACGTGCGCGAATCGCCGTAAAATAAGACAAACACCGAGTATTAACATTGTAAAAGGCGCTAATCGCCAAGATTTTTATTGTATCGTGGGTGCAAATCAACACATTTTTTATTCATATATTTGTGCACGCAAATCGCGCATTTATTATTATTACGTGTGCGTATAGGCGCGAATCGCCACGTTCAGTATTTATTATATATTTGTAAGCGCAAATCGCGCATTGTATTATTATTAAGTGTTACTATTGTTGTGTGTCAATTATCAAATTTATACAGGCACAGGTAGCAGCTGGCCAGCCGAGCACCGTCATATTTGTGAGTTTTTTTTTATACATTTTTATTATTATTATATTGTTGAGCCGTTAGGCATATTACTATTATACTTTGTAGGACCAGAAGGGTCATAATATCCATACTTATATTTTTATACCTATATGTTGCTGTGATTTTTATATTCTTGTATCCGTAAATCTTAATTAATTTGTGTACAATACAGCAACTAATTTTTATCAGCAACCGTGTTACCATCTATAGTTACCTTTCGTCCAATAGTTTTAAGCTTACACACTCTCATATATACACACACTTACACACCCACCACACACTAGCATTCGATCGTTTTGCTCGGCGAACCCGTCCACTTCGATCGAATTGCTATTACACGTATACACACATACACAGGTCGGTCGGTGTGTGAGTGAGCGTGCGAAGTAGTTTGGTGACCGGGCGTCACGGCCTATTATTGTTTCGTTCCCGGCCCGTCCACAAATATTGTTATAAAAATAATGTTATTATAATAACGTAACTATCCAACTAACATAATATTTTTACATTATAAATTATAATTAAAATAGTTAAATACATTAATAGTTAATAAATTTCATAATACACAATTCGAAAAAAACACAATATTCTTTATTCACTTACGATCGTCATTTAAAAGAAGAAGTTTCCGAAAACAGAAGGATACGTTTTTGGTCAAAAACGGTCTAGCAAAAAAAAAAAGTACACACCAACATATGTACATATATATACGAACTATTCGTAATTTGATGACTTCAAAAGAATTCAAACATTATTTTTAATTTTATTTTATTAACCCCAACTGAGACGTGCTGCATATTAATTATTTACAAAAGTATTGTGTTATGTCGATGTGTATAGATCGGTATCAAGAATTTGATTTATAAAAAAACATTGAGACACATATGATTCTGAGATCAATACAATTCTTATCTATTAATTTTTTATTTGAAAACTTCAGTTTTTTTATTTCTATTCCTAGTTACAGTCATATACATTATACACCACTCGAAAAATTGACGTTTATAACAGATTTATTTCGGTTTCTGATTTAATAAACCATAAAACGAGTAAATTATTGATACCTGCGGTATGTGTTCATTTAAGTTCTCCTTTAGGTGACCACGATAACGAGTACTGCACAAAATAATGACTAAACTAGGACAAACAGGATTTACACTATACAGCTCTAAGGTTACTTTACTCCTTGAACAACGGACAACGATAACGAGTAGGTACTGGATGTTCGGTAGTGAGATATCTTTAACCCAGGCAAAGTCTTACTCTTTTTTGATTGACCACGACAACAAGTACTTGAAGAGAAAGTAAGTACGACAGTGCCTTACTACCTTTTCCAAAAGTGTTATTCATTACAAACGTCTCCGTACGCACAAGTAATAATATTCTAAAATACATGTAAGGAAAACCAAGTAACACTTGGTAAAAAAAATTAAATATAATAAAATATACCCCAGAACAAATAATAAATGAAACGTAAAATACTTTGATTCGTTTGCGACGACAACCATCGACAAGAAGCGAAAAAAGACCCGCTCTCGTCGCAGACGTTACCTTATGTAGTCATTGTAATTTTGATGACTCGGCTTCATTGATTTCTGCTTTGTTTCTAATCACAATTTCAATTTTTTATAATTTTTTATGAATATATACAACATTACATACTCCATTCAGATCATGGATATCATCATTAATAAATTTGAAAGATTATTCATCAACATGTTTATTTATTCAGTATACATTATGGCACATTTGATATATTTAGTTATGATATTTAAGGTGGATAATTTATTCACTAAAACAGTACCATCTTCGTCGAACTATCATTATATTATATATATTTGGAGTATATAATGTTATATAATAATGTAATGAAAATATGATGTTTACATTTATGTTAATTTTTATATTTTTACAAGAAAAACAAGTGTCTTAAAATAAATTTATTTGCCTCACAAGAACTTACAGTACACTCTCAACTTAAAAACAAAATAATAAATAACAAACATCATCATTGTAAAATCTGATAAATTCATTAAACGCATATTATTTAGAATAATTATCAATGTGAATATAAACAAATGTTAAGACCAGAACATAAATTATTTGGTTAAAAAATAAAAAATAATTTTAAAAGGTTTTATTCTCTCCCATCGAGAATTAGTTTGTTTTTTTTATCATTGTGACCAAAAACAATTCGAATTTTATTAAGGATATTTAGGATATAAATGCACCTAATTCAAAATATTATTGGACCTGTAAAATAGGGAATCATTATCAGCCGGAACATTCAATACAACCATGATGGGAGTTAACAAAACCCTAACAATATAACTAGAATGAAAATAAAATATTAATTTAACAATTGTATTTTCATTTATTATTAGTTATTAATGTAAGCTCCAATAAATAGATTTGTAAAAAAAAGTTCGTCAGTTGCTACTTTTATCATTTCCATACAGTAAAATTCAAGCGGGAATTCCCTTAATATTTCTGAAAAAAATAAGCATTAGATTTTTTGACTTTTTGCATTAGATTGGACTACCATAAAACTCGTAAAAATTGATTATAAACGTATATAAATATAAACGTTTCCAGGAACACAAACAAAATGTTATTCAAACACAAAGTGATAAAAAAATTATTATTTTTACTGTTAACGCCCAATATTAGGGCTACCCAAATTACCACTCGGTAATGCCCGAGAACACGGTTTTTAAAACAAATATGGTTACCAATATCAACCAGCTTAGAAATAAGAACTTACGCCTTGTAGCTTACAGGTAGGCAATTTTATATACCAGGACGGGAAAAACCTATCACGGGAACGAGGATGGTACAAGTTAGTTAAGGGAAGAGGGTCTCTGTGATCGATCCGGTATGATGCAATGATCACAGAGCTCACAAAACGTAGGGAAAGTACTTAAACTAGCTTAAATCTACTGGAGACTTAAGAAGCCGATGGACGGCGTTCGGCGGATACAGTAGGCAGACGTCGAACTGGACGACCTGGGCGGCCTCTCACACAACGTAATGTTGCTGGCGGACTTATGCGAGGAATCTGTCGAACGGAAGTGGACAGATGAGACACCACGTTAGATGGTGATAACAATACAGAATGCCGAGTTTGACGGCAACGATAATAAAATAAATAAACACTTACGACTCAATAGTTGGTCAGTTCGGATTATATTTGATTGAGTGATGATACATGTTCGGTGCTCGCTTAATTAGCGGGTTACACATAATGACACATAGTAAAAAAAGATAATCGCTTTAATAGCAGACCAACAAGTTAAAAAGCAACGAAAAGAACTGGGCGGACGCAGCTAGTAGACAGTACGACGCCAATAATAATAAGAAAAAAAAAAAAATAATAGTAATAATAAAAGGGCGTTGGCCGCATAAATGATTATAAAACAAAAACCATAAAAGATAATTACAATAAGACAAAGAGAGTAGAAAATAATCGGTGACAAGAACAATGATAATTGTAATAATTACAATATTAGTATAATAAATCACACGATACTTAATAAGAGGTAACGGGAATAATGAGATGATAAGGATGGTCCACCGCCGTGCATAGAATTGCATAACGCGCTACATATTTAGCTTGGCGCAAACATTTAAAATAATAAAATAGAAATTTTGAACTATCATAAATTAAAATATAATATTGAAATTTTACGATTTTAATTAATCTTAGAAATACTTACTATACACTATAGAACATTTTTATATAAATAAATTAAAAAATAAACCAAAAAAATTCAAAAATATATGATACACAACACAGTATTATGATAACCAGGACTCTCCCAATGTCTCATGGATAACCTAATAAGTAAATCAAGGACTTTCATGCATTTGCATGTTTTTTCTGGTTTGATTAAACTTGTGCAGAGGAAGTACACAGTACGTTTCACAACGTTTGTGACCAAAATCTTAAAGTTTTTAGTGCATATTTTTGCATATTTGGACATTCTTAGGTTTAAAAGTCATATTTTTGATTGTAAGAGCATATTTTAATCTTTTAGTGCATATTTTGATGGTTTATCGATAATCGAGCACTTTGGTGAATATTTTCTACGAATCACTGTCAACAATTTATTATAAACTTATAAAGACGATAGAGATAAATTTTATCTTGAAATAATAAAAATGGTCAGTATTAATTATGTCTATTTTTGTATTTTTATTTAACGAACAGTAGGCACGTGGGATAAAAACAATAGTATCAAGTATCTATAGTTAGTGGGTAGATCAGATTAATTCTAGTAGATTCGCTGCGTGTGCGTAAGTTTCGTGAGTTTAAATTTTGTCACTCTATTAATATGCCAAAAGAAAAATCGACAAAAGCTTATCGTCTGCGTAATTTTGTAATCGAGTTTGGTGAATCTGTATAT